TCAGTAATCGACATCTGCCCTTTATATCCCTGACAACACACGAGACCAACTTGGTCATGATTAACCCTTCTCGTATACCCTTATCTCCTCGCACCGCTAGTGCTAACTTTTTGAGTTCACGAAATGAGTTATTCCTGGTCCTCTGAAAACTCAATCTAAACTACACTGTTCGAGCTTACCATGTTCGGTCAGACCTTGTACCAAATAGGACAACATGTTTCCTTAGCCCGTAAGACTCTAGAATCTTAGGTAATAAAAGTATTTTTTACGCATTTGAAATCATCAATCTATCATTGTTAGACCACCATTAGAAACCTGGAAGCACTGGATGGCCGTTTCGACCTGGTATGCGACCCATCAGCAGAGCGCATCCACGACTCCTGCATCAACTCGCAGGATTCGAACCCGCGACCTGTGGTACTGCTCTCTAACGCCTAACCTCTGAACCACCGGGCCGGCATTCAACAGTGTTAATGTCTAACTCTGATCAATCTAGAGATTTTGCGCGACCTTACCCATTTGTCTTTGGTAGTTACTGCCTAAACCTTCGACAGGGTTGAACTCCACCGGTCACCTCTTCTTAATGATTTCAAATGTGTAAAAACACTAAACTTCATAACTCTAATTGAAAATATTGCTATTCTATGTGTAAAATTCCCCAAACAAAAACACCTCAACATATAATTTTTAATGGTGTAGTTTTGTTTACATATCTATTTCTTTCAAATTTTATTTTCCACCAATTTTTAATAGATGAAGGTTTAGTCTATGTTGATTTAAGTACTGATCCTACTTTATTTCAATCTTATGGTGATTATCAATTTGATATATATCGTCATATGAAATCTGCCAATTGGTGAGTCTTTTTGTTCCTAATTTCCTCTGATAATGATTATCGTTATATATGTTCATGTATATGTTAATTTTACAAGCAAAACGATGAACACTATTGGGTCAGTCAGTCAGTTGCAACGTAGAACTTCGTACGTATGTACATAAGTTCATGTCGCCATACCACATTATTAACACAGAGACGCAAATGTCAAATCAAATCCCATAGTGATAAAGATAGTAGAGGTATTAATGATAATGAAGACTAGGGTTTGAAGATATTATTCAAGAAGTATAATTCAGTGAGATAAGGTTAGAAAGACAAAAGTAGAGGTGCTAACGAATCCAGAAGATTAGGATTTTAGAGAGCTCAAAGAATGGATGCACTTGCGCCATTGCAAACGATTTTGAGTCATGTCGTTCAAGGTCTCTAACCGTTGGTGACTTTCGTCTCGCGGACCCCCCAACCAGGTCCAGGTAGCCTACATCTACCAACATGACTCAATCCACTTGTCAGTGACTTCATGGATTTCTGCCATGTTTCGGTCTGGCTGCCCCTAGCTTTCTTCTAACCTGCTCCTACACCACAAAACATAGCTCGTCGAAGCAGTCGGTGGTCAGCCATACGTAACACGTGTCCCAACCACCTCAACTGATGAAGTTTCACCACTTCATCGATTGATCTGCTATCCTTACCTCGTACTCAATTCCTAACTATAGCATTGCTTACTCGGTTGTCCCAGGATATACGAGTAATGCTTCTTAAACATCTATGATCGAATACTAGTAACCGACGAATATTGGTTTCCGACCATAGGTGTGGCTACTAGTGTGTAATCCAAAACATGTGTATTGTTTTATTCGGGACTTTTCGATTGTTGGATGGATGTAGGATGCATCAGAGAATTGATGTTTCCCTTCTCTGAGTTGAATGGCGATATCCAATACAATCCGCATAGTATGCATATACACCAAAAAAAGTGATTGTGCAAACCTAAACATCAGTCAGACGATTCTAATAGTCAATGCATGTTATAGTGTCAGTTTCATTATTGCATATGACTAATTGACTGAAACTGGGATACATTGTGTACTAATGTTTTACAATGATTTATTTTTGTAGCAGTTCGCTCTGTCCTACTCTATGGCTGTTAAACATTACCACTAAGAATAGAGGATATTGGTAGGTTACTACTTTCGATCATAAGTTTATTCGAAGCATTGTTCATATTTTCTGAGCCAATCTATTGAGTGTTATGCTGGTCACTTGATATGCTTGAAACCAATACGGTTTCACCTTAGTCAGTAAACGAGAACGAGACAAGGGACGAGTGTCCGGGTAAGCTACTCTGATCCGTTGACCCAAAAGAACTAACAAAAAAGTCTTGATATAGCGTAGAAAGTGTATTCTACAAACAACCCAGCAAGCACATTGATCTCAAGCACACAAATTGCGTTTATTTATACATCATAACAACGTCCTTGAGAGAGTCACAAAAATAGCATACTAAAATAATACCGAAACCAATCACAGCCAAGGATTTTCCTGGTGGGAAATATGGTCTCAAAGTCAACTTATCAGTCCATGAATAAAATCCAAAACTAAGACATTTATCAACCGAGTTCTGGGATATCTAACGTCCCCAACAGAGTAAGCGATGCTGTTGTTAGGAAAAGAGTACTAGGTAAGGATAGCAGATCAATTTATGAACTAATGAATGTTCATCAGTTTAAATGGTTGGGATAACTGTCATGTATATGCATAACTACTGACTGCCTCGACGAGCGACTTTTTGTGATTTCATAGTAAGGGCAGCCAGACCAAGACATGGCGAAAATCAATAAAGTCACTAACAAGTGGACTAAATCATGTCAGTAGGTGTGACCGTACTAGGTTAGGGTCCGCGGGACAATAGTAACCGATAGTTAGATACTTTGAGTAACATGGCTCAAAATTGTTCGCAATGGTACAAATACACCCATACTTTGTCTTCTCACGAATTGGAAGAAAGCTTGGAGCGGCCAAACCAAAACATGGCACAAATCCATGAAATCACTGACAAGTGGACTCAGTCATGTTGGTAGATGTAGGCTAGCTGGTTGGGGTCCGCGTAACGATAGTCACCGATGGTTAGAGACCTTGAATGACATGACTCAGAATCGTTTGCAATGACGCAGGTGCATCCACTCTTTGTGTTCTATGAAATTCTATGCTTCTGCATTCCTTATATTCTCTACTTTTCTCTTTCTAAATTTATCTTACTGAATTATACTTCTTGAATCATATCTTCGCTCCTTAATCTTCTCCATTACTGCTAATAATTCTACTATCGCTATCACTTTTGGATTTGAACTGACAGTTACGTCTGTGTGCTGACGTGGTATTGAGAAGGCTGAGGCAGGCGCGGAAGATTGTATTATGCAAATTTACACTCTGAGTCAATTAAAAACAAAAACATTACATTGAATACACTCTATCTGCACAACATCTTTGAGTCGTCTTGACTTCCAACACTTCATCCTTCTTCCATTCCTGTTGTTGTTGCTTCCTTTCCTTCATGTTGGTACTATTCTATTTACTGTTTGCTCCATTTTGCTCCATTTGCTTTCCGTTTTCCTCTTCTGACCGTGGTGAGACTTCTTCTTCTTTCACGTCCCCATTCTTATACTACTTATATCGTTCGTATAAGTAGCACACACCACAATATGGCAACTTGAACTGATGTACTTACACGTACGAAGTTCTGTGTTGTATCTGTCTGTCTGTCTGTCTATCGATACTTATCAATCCACATACACATGTATTCTAATTGTCATTTGCTTTCGATTCAATGTTTAAAATTTTATTTATTTCTTTCTTATATACAGTAATGATTGGAAAAGTTTTACACCAAAAACAAATGTGATGTGGTTTCATTATTTAACAACAAAATTATACATGAATTCAGAGAAATCCTCCTCTTCGTCATCATCCCCATCGCCATCATCGTTATCGACCGCCTCAAACCTGCATGAAATTTGTTGGAATGATTTGCAACATTTAGAGCTCATTACACGTTCATTTGATCAATATCATTCTATGCATCAATTAATTATGAAATGTAATTTATTTAAAAATTTTTTAAAATATTTTTAAGAAAAAATTGTTTTAATTATTATTATTATTATTATTATTATTATTACTAATATTATTCACTTGTACGCAATATCAATAATAATAATAATAATAATCAATTCTTTTATTGTCATATTCTCTTGTCATACAATTCGATTTTTACACCGATTTATACATTATAAACCATTGTAGTGAAGGAGGAGAACACAGGTGAAGGCAACCGAATTGTTGTATTTAATCGCAAATTACAGAGTTACTCAGTAAAATCATCGGAAAACCATATCGTAAATCGTTCATTTGCAAAATATCAGTCCATCATCCATCGAACTGGACTGTTCCTGTTGCAAAAAAACATCAATCCATTGTCACTATTCATGCGTTTCATACAAATTCCATTGTGTTTTCTAACTCTTCCTTCCTTGATCTTCCCCCCATATTATGCTACCAGACTTTACGTTGACACTCACGTTATATACTACTTATAAGTAGCCCACACCACACCATTAGCTTGAAAAAAAACAGACGATTTTAATGAATAATTATTGTGTGATGTTTATACTATTATATACACACACACACATGTTGAGAAATAGAGATAGACATGGAAAGAATGAACAACAATTGGACAGAAGTAAAAAAGGAAGGTATAAGACAGAGTAAATAGGCTGAAGAATGCTGGTCAGTGGCCAATGACTCCATTTGGGGATAATACTTACTTACTTACGACTGTTACCCCCAGTGGAACATAGGCCGCCCACCAGTTTTCTCCAACCTACTTTGTCCTGGACTTCCCTCTCCAGTTCTGTCCAACTTTTGTTCATTCCTCTCATATCTTTCTCTATTTCTCGGCGTAATAAGTTCATTGGCCTTCCTCTTTTCCTTTTGCCTTGAGAGTTCTATGTGAGGGCTTGTCTCGTGATGCAGTTAGGTGCTTTATGCAGTGTGTGTCCTATCCACTTCCACTGCACTTCTTCCTGATTTCCTCCTCCACTGGAATCTGGTTTGTTCTCTCCCACAGTCGTTGTTGCTGATCGTGTCTGGTCAACGAATACGAAGTATTTTGCGTAGACAACTGTTAATAAACACTTGTATCTTCTGGATGATGCCTTTCGTAGTTCTCCAAGTTTCCTCTCCATACAGTAGAACAACTGTCTTAACATTTGTATTGAATATCCTGATTTTGGTTTTGTTTGAAAGTTGTTTGGAGTTCCAGATATTTTTCAACTGTAGAAATGCAGCCCTTGCTTTGCCAATCCGCGCCCTCACATCTCCATCGGATCCACTTTGATTGTCGATGACGCTGCCCAGATATGTAAAGGTGTTAACGTCCTCCAAGGCATCTGCATCAAGAGTGATTTGGTTGGTGCATGTTGTGTTGCATCGGAGAATTTTGCTTTTTCCTATATGTATGTTGTGACCTACTACTGCTACACTGGTCTTCTCTTGCATTTGTTGTTGCGTGTGAGATAGAAGAGCCAGGTCATCTGCGAAGTCCAGATCGTCCAGCTGCGTCATAGCTGTCGGTTGGATGCTGTACTTCCCTCCAGATTTTAACGTCTTCATAATCCAGTCGATCACCAGGAGAAAGAGAATGGGTGAGAGTAAGCAACCTTGCCTGACAATTTGGGGGTAATAGGCGAAGCTTATATGTTAGTATGCAGTGGATGTTCAGCAGAGCTCCGCCTTAAAAATACGGACTTATAGCACAATCTAGGTGTTTTGGAAAACAGAAAACATTCTGAAAGAGACTAACTAAGGATACGCTTGTTTTTTTTATTTCTGTAAATGGATGATATGATGACATACTCGAATGTTACTACTAGTTCATCTTACTCTGTAAATGGGACGAAGATCATTGATGCAGTGACCGCGATAGGCTATTCTAATCCGATTATCTCAGGCCCCACTAACTAGAGGAAGAAGTATTGATAAGACATATAGAGATAGTGTTCACAAGTACCTAGAAAATACGAGTTCCATAAGCACACAACTTGTTGTAACGCTTGCTTAGATATTTCCCGGCTAATTCCTATTGCTTAGTATTCTCTGTCCACAATACACTGGACAAGTTCCCAAGAATCAAAAACACGGTTGAACAGGAAGAGATTATATTCCAAATAGCAAGGTTAAATGGAAATAAGAAGCCAAAGGCGAAGGCCAAAATAGATACAACGTTAGATTGTTTATAGTATTCATATGAGAAGCTCCTGGATTGTAATTCACGTGATCGACTGGATTAGGTTTAGCCAATCAGTGTGCAGCTAACAACACGAGAATCTTCTACCCTGTTCTCCAAGGATCGATCAGGCGCTGATTGGATAGGAACTTAGCCAATCAACGCGCAACAACGTAGTTATGCTTTAATTCCATCTATGTCCCACTAACACAACCGAAGCTAATTTATACAATGATAGTAACGCCCTTGGTGAGAGCCACAAAAACAGTGTACTAAAATAATCGATCAATCAATGACAGTCAAGGACTTGTCGAGTGTGAACTTCAGGTTAAAAGTCAAACTAAGCGTCTTTAGTGCGAAAACACAAAAAAATCAAAATTTCAGAAAGAAATTACGAAATCAAGTCGTTTTCCAAATGAGTTCTGAGGATCTAACGTCCCCAACATATCATATTATGATAAGGTGTGCACTTGTTACCTAAATATATTGTCTTCGTTTGGTCTTCACTAAGCACTGACTGATATCACGTGACGTGCACAAAACATCAACCAGATTTGTGTTTATAGCATCAACTGTATATTCTTATTGATTCACAGCTCGATAACTTCGTTCTTTCTACTCTGCCTCTATCTTTTAGTCAAGAAGGTGGCAGTCAGCCTCTGAAAAATCTTCGTCATATTTTAAGGAGATATAATTTATACAGCAACGATAACATTTAGCATGTTTTTTAATGGCATAAATAGAATACTTGACTTTGATCAAGTTCATGCTAAGATTTACAAGGAAATCAATATGATATCAGGATGAGTCTCCAATTGTGATTTAAAGTAAATATTTTATCTGAAATAACTAAGATTTCTCGGGGATTTGGATGAGAATATGAGGCATTTCCATGCCCAAGACAATAAATAATGATTGCGTAATATAGTTGGTTGATTTAGTTTAAACAATAAAACCAGTTGATGCCGACTAAGCTGTTAGTAAATTAAGCCATTGCACACGAGATCGATGGTTCTATGTTCGATTCCCGCTTGTGTAGTCATGGATGTGCACTGTTGATGAGTTCCATACGAAGACGAAAAGGTCATCCTTTAATTTTAGGTTTCCAAAGGTTGTCTAACTCTGAACAGTTCATAATTTCAATGAAATTAATAAAATTCTGTGTGTGAATAACCACTAATATCAAGATACTTACGTTTACATACGACAAAATGAGTTTAAAAATTACAACGTCCCACAATTGTGGTAACATACTATTTAAACTAAATAAATGTCATCGACCATTCTTTGTAATTCCATCACAATGACTAACAGTGTCTTTTGAATGATATTCAGATTTTCGTCAGATATTGGATCCAGATGTGAAAATGGAACTAATTAATGTTATCATTCATAGATTTCAGTCAGTCAGTTACAACGTAGAACCTCGTACGTGTACTTGTATCAGTTCAAGTAGAAGTATTAGCAGTAATCAGAGTGATTAGGGTTCGAAGGTATTGTTCAAGAAGTAGAATCTTGTGAAATAAACTTGAAAAGAAAAAAGTTAAAGGTGATAAAGAATCCAGAGGATTAAAATTTGAGAGAACACTAAGAATGAATGCACCTGTGCCGTCGCAAACGGTTGTGCGCCATGTCGTTTAAGATCTCAAACCATCGATTACTATCGTCTCGTGTATCCCAGTCGGGTAGTCTATACCTACTAACATGGTTCAGTCCATTTATCAATGACTTCATGGATTTGTACCATGTTTTGGTCTGGCCGCCCCCTAGCTTTCTTCTAACCTGCTCCTACACTGCAGAACATAGCTCGATGAGGCAGTCGTTGGTTAGTCATACGTAACACATGTCCCAACTACCTCCATTCATAGATTTAACTAGTGATTGCTCAAGGTCTCTAATTGCTATTTAGCAGTAGTAGTAGTAGTAGTCTGGATCTCTTGCATCTTAGCGCGACCGCCATCAGTTTTATTCCAATCTACATGTATTCAACAACAACACTTTTAAGGTAATCAGTGGTTTGACAGTAAAAAAATTTCGAGTCAAATTTAAGTCCACAATAATCTTCGCAACATCCTATGTGGTCACTTTTTGAACTGATATAACTGTATGCATGCTTCGAAAAGCTCATTTTTCTGACAGTTAATAAAAAATATATATATCATTGTATCTAGTAGAACTCCACCAGTAGTCCCTTTGCGGCTACTGCCGGTCCCAAGCCCGGATAAAGGAGGAGGGGTCGGCGCCCCCATCCCAACTATAACTAACTTGCTAATAAAACGCTAACCAGAAAAAATAATTCAAACCATTTTAAATCTGCCATGGGAGTTGGAAAAAGAATTATGACTTCGCGTGATGAAAGCCGAGTTCCCTCGGAAGTCACAGGGCTGATGCCTCTTCTGACAACCAGAGCAACCATTCTGTTAGGTACATGGAACGTTCGAATATTATGGGAGACTGGAAGACTATTTCAAGTTACTGCACGAATGAAAAGATACAACATGGAGGTGCTCGGCATCAGTGAAACACACTGCACATAGCTGGACAACTAAGGCTAGCTTCAAGAGAACTGCTGTGATACTCCGGCCAAGAAGAACAAAATGCCTCACACACAAGGAGTTGCACTGATGCTGTCCAAACAAGCACAAAAGGCACTGATAGGATGGGGATCTCATGGACCGAGGATCATTAAAGCATCCTTCAAAACAAAGAAAGAGGACATTACAATGAACGTCATCCAATTCTATGCACCTACCAATGACAACAATGATGACGTTAAAGATCAATTCTACGAAAGGCTGCAGTCAATCGTCGAGAAATGTTCACCAAAGGATTTGACGATTCTTAT